GAGTCTCTGACATGGGGGAGCAGGTACCCAACTCCTTGGACCATCCTCTGTGGGTTTCTCAAGCCTATCAGTATGAGCTGGATCCGAAGTGGAGCAGGTAGGACTAAAACCAGGATTCCAGTTATCCAGGGAGAGGTTAATCTACCTATGCCACAATATTGTACCCACAGCTGCAACTTCTAATGTGGTGTTGAACAGAAGTAATCTTGCTGTTTTGAAGGGGAAGGAATTCGAGCTTTCATCACAACATATTGTGACAGCCACTGGTTAGTAAGATTTGTGGATAGTTGATTAGTCCTCTGTTAAACTTTTCCTGAGGTTTTGGTCATGAGTGAGTATTAAATTTAAATAAGTGAAAAAATAATTTTCTAGTCTTTTACAAGGTAAATTATACTAAATTTTCAAATTTTGAACCAGTCTTGCTTTTTCTGAACTAAATCAAAGTGGTTGTGATGGATGTTTTAGATATTGCTTGACTAGCTGTTGCTAGTATATTGAGGGTTTTCGCATATATTTTCTTGAATGCTGATCAATTTTTTTACATTTTACTTGTGGTATAAGTAATATGTGTCTGACAAACTTGGAAGTGTACCTATTTCATTTCCTGAAGTGTGTGAAAAACACACACTCTATCTTCCTTAAATTTTCAGAACAATCTGCTAGTGAATCCACTCAGCCTTGGCATTTTATTAGGTCTCTAACTACGAATCTGATGTTTTGGATAAGTATAGGATGATTCACGTTATGTATTTCTGAAAATGTCTGGACAGTGTACCTTTTGAAGAATTTGTCCATTTCACATAAGTCATCTGACTTCTGAGCAAAAGCTGTTATTTTTTAAATGTTTCTTCTTTACCAATGTTTTCTTCTCCTAGGATGTAAATGATACAAACATTAGACTTTCTGAAACTGCTTAATGAGGTTCTTGAAGCTCAACTTGTTTTTAATCTTTTTTTAAACTTCAGATTAATTCCTACTGACTGATTTTTAAGTCTACCTCCTCTCATCTCCAATCAGCTGTGGTGCCTATAGAGAATACTTATTAAAAATCTTCATATATTTTTCCTTTTAGTTGAAAATTTCTACTCTTCTTTTTTTTGTGGCTTCACAGGTCCTCTCAAGAAAAATAAAATTATTTATATGAGAGAGGTACTGAGAGAGAGAGAGGTAGAGAGAAAAACAGGCATGTTTTATCCATTGGGTCACTCTCCACATGGCTGTGACAGCTAAGCACGGGACAGGCCAACGCCAGCTTCATTGTCTCCCACATCAGTGATTGGGTCATGTTCCCAGGACATTGTCAGGGAGCCAGATCAGAAAGGCAGAGCATCTGGGACACGAACCAACGTGTGCACGGAATGCTGGTGTTGCAGTTGGTACCTCTGCCCGCTATGCAACAATGCCAGTCTTTGTAGCTGGATTTCTATGCTGCTGCACTCTTGTCAGGTTTACCTTTACCTTACAAAGTAGTTCTACTGATGCTTTAAAAGTTTTTGACACTCTGTTAACTGGATCCTGTTAGCACTGTGATCTGCAGAGTGTCTTTCATTTAGGAATTGACCAGATTTTCCTGGTCTTTGGTTGAATAAGAATTTTCTGGAAATTTGAAAGGGAGCATCCAAGTACAAGTGCCTTCATCTATCAGTTCACTGATCAAACGGTTCTAACAGCTGCAGCCAGATCTGGGAGCTAGGGAGGCAATCCAGGCTTCCTATGTGAGTTACAGGGACTCCATTATTTGAAACACCACCACCACCTTCCAGGATCTGTGTTGGTGAGAAGCTGCAGTCTAGAGCCAGAAATGGGAATTGAACTCAGCCATTCTAAAGTGGGATGTGGGCATGTTAACCGTTAGGCTAAACACCTGTTTGTGCTGTAGTTTTGCTTGCATTGGGTACTACAGTTTACATAGTTTGAGTAAGTCCCCCACATGTTCATATGTCATAAGCTCTGTCGTTAGTGTAGCAATGTTGATAGATAGTAGAATGTTCCAGAGGTGAGAGCTAGTGGATGGATGATGACTAAGTCATTATATGATGTGGCTCCTGGTAAAAATTGATGCAAATCTCTTAGGACACCTCCTAATTCTCAGAGTTTTTGGGAAATGAACAATCATGGCCCCCGTGTCTCTCTTGCCCCACCTCTCAGTATGGATGTCATCATCTTCTCACACACACCCCCACTATGCCATCCTCCCTGTCGTGCAGTCTAAGCGCCTCCTAACCAGGAGGGTTATGCTCTTTGACTTCCAGCCTCCACAGCCGAAACAAATACTCTATACATTACCTAGCTTCTGATCTCCTGTTATAGCATAAAAAATGGAGTAAGAGTCTCAGACAGCTTGAATGTCATTTGTGAGTTGAGGATTCTGCCAAGACTGTATAAACTGTTGATTTTTGTTATTTGTATTGTTTCACTAGGCAATCAAATGAGGTTTGGATAGCAAGTTCTGTCTCACTTTGTGGGGGTGGCAGTCCCAATATTGGCTCAATTTTCAAAGCATTTGTGTTCTATGTGGGTTTGCTGATTCTCACTTTAACTGCATTGTCAGAATCTGTTCTGACAAACATCAGTATATGTTCAAACTTTCTTTGATAGTCTAGGGCATGGAGCAATTTTAAGAAAGTTTTAACATACGCGGTAGAGAATGTATAGGGAGTAAGGTAACATGTCCATACGGTGTCATTTTTTGTGCCTATTCCTTTTATGCTTGATCTACTAGTTACTGATGTAAAGGAACTGTCCATGGTAGCTGTAGATTTCTCAATTTATTCTGGTGATTATCCATTTATATTTTGTGTATTTTGAGGATACATTATATATACACTTTTAAGTTACTTTATCTTCCTTGTGAATTACTGATATTCATGATTTCCATTTTTTAATAGTTGTATCAGCTCTCTTTTGATACCTGCCTGGTATTCCTATTCTATTTTTTTTTACTTTCAAATTTTCCTATAAACAGGAAATATCTGAATTTTTATCTTAGCATTTTATTCATTTATTATTTTTTTTCTCAGAAATACCCTTGTTTTCAACGAGGCTAGTAGGTTATGGAAATTTAGATAAAGAAATAATTTTTCTCTAAACACTTCAAAACAGTCTTCTGTTGTTTTTAGGCTTCCATTTTTCAGAAAAGGTGTTTTCACAGTTACAGAGATGATTCTTTCATCTATTGGTTCACTCTCTGAAACGGCTGCAACAGGTAGCACAGAGCCAGGTGGAATCCAGGAGCGTCACCCGAGTCTCCCACATGGTTGGCAGGGGCCACCTGCTGCTGTTTTTCCCAGGCATTGGATCTCCAGTGGAGTAGCCTGTGTAGAACCAGCAGCCATACGGGATGCTGGTGCTGAAGGTGTCAGCTTTACTCACCAAGCCACATAACAACCCCAGGGTTTCCATTATGCTACTGATACTTTTGGGTGTCAATCTTAGAATTATCCCTTTGAGAAAATCTTTTTTTCCACTCTGCTTGTTTTAAGAATGTGTCTGCCTTGGTTTCAATGTAAGAAGGTATCACTTAAAAACCTTTTTTTCACTTGCCTGGAGTCCTTATTTGTCATGTCATTAATCAAATCTTGAAATATTTTCTAGTAACAGCAAAACAAAACAAAAACCTATCACTCCCTCCTAGCACTATATTTTGGGTAATATCCTCAGATGTATTTTTCAGTAACATACTTTGCAAGAAACATCCTGCTACAGTCAGGAGGGGAAATGAAGGGAAGAGTTGCCCAATAACTATAATGCATGGAAGTTCTCGCTACCTTCATTTTTTCCCCCTTAGACACTGAAAACTCTTTAAGTTCTTGGATAATCTGAGAAACTTCTGTTAACTCTTCTTCATGGTGGGTTATGAAAAGAGATTCTGCAAATTTTGGGTTGTCAGCCTGCCTGCCTTCTATTGATGTAAAATTATATCCCATATGTTGATAAAGGTTAGGTCTAGGTATAAAGTCTTAAGGGAGATGCCAGCCTCACTAGTTATCTTTTATATAGGCCCAAGAAAACAAATCTGGCATCAAATTGTCATAGTGGGTATCTCTTTTTGTGTTCTATCCTTTCATGTTCTACTTTGCAGATTCCAGCTTTATGTGAAGAAGTCTCAGAGGTTCACAGAAACCCTACGCCTTCTTTTTTTTCAGTGTGTGGTTAGAACTTGGCACATCACCCTCTGGCAGTTACAGGTTACTGAAATCAGCCAAGGTAATCTGAATCATCAACATAAATGCTAATTTATAGCTGTCTTTGTTCATTTTTGGAGTATACATATGATTCTAAAGGGACATTTACTCAATGTTTCCCGTTTCTTTTTAACAGCTAAGTTTTCTGGGTATTTAATCTACAGTATTTATCAGGACTGTAGAGCTGACTTTCAGGGTATGTTCTCCCACTCTCTTTTCTTTTTCCTATTTTTATACACATATACATTAAGTGTAATTTTAATTCCATTGATTTCCCTAGAATAAATTAAAGGCAGAAAGCAAAAGCAGTTAGCAAGCAATCTCAAGCTGTCAGAGTTATTTAAAAACATTCTTCTCTGCAGTACTTTCCAATACAGCTCTCCATGGTTAGCAGAGTGTGCCACAGTAAGAAAAGAGAACTAATTCTCAACAAGTTTGTGTTTTACACTGCTAGGGTCACTGTGTGATCTTTGACAGGTTACTTTAACTTCTTGCAGCTTTTGCGTCCTTATAAAATAAGGTTTTTATGAATCCCACTGATCAATAGCCGCACTCACCAATCATGAATTCACAGATTTTAAGAATCTTAGTCTTTTAAGATGAATACATTTAACATATGTATAATGCTCCTGAACTTTACATTTCAGTTTACTTAAATAAAACATGAATCTTAATAGCACCCTCAAAAGTGACAAGGTTTTAATGCTTAGTATCAGATTGTATAATGATGATCTTTTTGGCACAAACTGAAACAATATATCTAACAAACTATCTCATTACACATGTCCTCTGAGGTGACCCGTCAGACAGTAATACCTTAGCTTTTGGAGTGGCCTTAATTGTCCATATGCAATCAACTGCTTGGCCAGGTTTTGTTTTTTCTTCTTGTTCCACCTGACTAGAACGTACTATTCCATCAGCTCCTGAGAGCTCAAACTGGCAATCTAGAAGAAATAAATGAATGATGTTGAAAGGAAAATAAGACTGACTCAAAAAGTCACAGGGAGAAAGAGGTAATATACTAAACCTGGGATGGGATTTAAAATACCTCCTAGGTAGGTAAAGTCTGGATCTGTAACAGAAAAGAGAACAAAGTCACTGCCATTGAAACAGTTACTGCACAGCCAACATCTTAAGTTATTTCTAGAGCCCCAGTAAACACCAAGGTAAGAGAAGTTATCACTGACGTTGCATATATACAATTGCTCATTTGGAAGCTCACTTATATTTATGTTTTTAATTCCATGACATATTAAAATGTATTTATGTTACTTGAAAGCTCACTTAAATGGTCAAGAACAGTTGCCAGAGTATTGACAATTATATATAAAAAAAGTTTGAACAATACAGTGGACTGTTATATACCCTCAAAAAGAAATATAATACATTTTTGCTCATGTTAAATTTACCTCCTAAATACAATAATCACTATTCCAAAACACTACAAATCTACTTACCCCACTGAATTGTGAACTGAGAAATGATTAAACAGTAAACTTTGCTAAATACATTCTACTACAGTAAAAATAAGTCAATAAAACTAGAAAACTGGTATTTTAAAAGCATGTGAAACTCAGTTAAGAACTTTATTACATCACATTTCCAGAATGAAAACGCTGAGGAACTGTCTCAGAATCATCAACCTGGCAAACCTATTTAAGCACACACTTTACTGTATATAAGTGGCTGCTTTATTCTTTTTAAAATTGTTATCTTTAATCCCAGACACTGTAGGAAGTTATCAAACAACATATTGAAAAAGTGGGAAAATATTACTAGCTTAATTTACAAAAAATCTAGTAGACTGTTCTTTTAACACTAAACTTTTCCTTGCTAAAAGGGAACAACCAGTATATATTTCACACTAAATCCTTTGTAGAAAAATGTCAAACAGAAATTTAAACAGGATCAGCAAAGGGAGAAAGTCCAGGCACTATCTGGCAAATTAATGAGAACCTCTTTATAGGTAGGCATGAATTCCAGAACATTGTAATTATTGCTCTGAAATATACATAACTTTACCAGTTATCTCCTGAAAGTGACAATTCATTAGGAGATTCCATGTCAATAAATACCACCAATAGCTTAGAGAACTTTACTTCAAAAATGCTAACTTCTCAGTATTGTTAATGGATTTCAGAAAAAAATTGTAATCCAATCCCAGTTTTGCTTTTATGTAATTCAAAAAAAATCAGTTTAAACGGGATTATTATGTAATTCTCCTGACATTTCTGTCATTACTTTAAAATAGTGTGTACAGAAACTGAGGCATGATATAATGCAAATAAATGGTAAAAGTCTAACTCAAGTATTTTATAATTTGTATTTAACTATATGCCATATAAGATTGCTCTCATGATATTTAAAACTACAGGAAAAAAACTATATTTCTTCAAATTAAGCATTTTTTACATGTATAGCTGGCATATTAAACCATTTTTCATTGTAATAACATATCTGAGGTAAGCTGCTTTACACAGAAAACTAACTTATCCAGCTCACAGTGCTGGGGGTTCATGGTCATGGCACCTCCATCAGACTGGCTCTGGTGAAGGCGTTAATGGGGGGAGCATTAAAATGGAGATCATAACACTAAAAAAGGAAGCCAAAGAGTATGGTCTGTTCCTATTTTCTCCTATGGGGTCCTATCTCTTCAAATGGCCTCACCACCTATATAAGCACTACACTGAGGAGCAAGGGAGGACAAACCACATACAAACTATGGCAACTGGCTGACTTTTGTTTTTTAATGTCTAACAGCATTGTTTGATTCCTGCTTTTTCTGTTTTAAAATAATCTTTCATGAGAAAGAGTTAGAGATGAAAGACAAAGATTGATCTTCCATCTTGCATCTCTGTAACTCACTCTGGCTTCCGGCTGTCCCAACCATGGGAAAGTGAAGCCAGAAGCTAGACTTCATCCAAGCCTCCCACACGGCTGGCAGGGGCCAAAACACTTTGGCAATTTTTCACTGCAATTCCCAGGTCACTAACAGGAAGTTGGTTTGGAAGCGGAGCAGCAAGACACAAACCAGCACCCAGATGGGACGCCAGCATCCCAGGTGTCCACTCTACTTGCTATGCCATTAAAGCTGGCACTTTTTTTTCTTACAAGAGGTCTATGCTTATAAAGAACCAATTCATGTGTAAAATTTTGAAACGATGTCACAACGACACTGAAGTCTCAATACTTAAGTTAACTGGTATAACAATATAAGCAAACATCTGACCAATAAAACCAGATCAGTTATTTCAATTCAGACTATTGGCTCTTAAGTTTATGTGAACCGCTGCAAAAGGCAGAATATTCCATGTATAGCCTGGTCAATCATTTACTTTCTGGCATTTTGTTTTAAAAGCTCACTAGTTACTTTTTTAGATTTTTTTATTTAAAACAATTGTATTTATTATTGAGGTACACAGATGGACAGAGTATTCGTATCTACTGGATCACTCTCTAAATACCTGTAACAGCCCCAGGCCAGAGCAGGAGCCTGTATGCGAAAGCGGAAACAAGGTCTCTTGGAGTAAGTTGTTCTGGTTGCTGGTTGGTCTTGTGGATCTCTTGCATGCATTTGTTAAGGGATCTTAAAAAGAAGTTAAATCTTTAGTCCTAGTAGGATGATCAGTAGGCCACAACATAAGAGGAAAGAAATGCCCAAGGGCAGTCAGCTAACAACATATGAAAGGATCCTTTTGAGGGAACTCCTTTTACGGACTTATACATTCTGTCAAGATTTTGGAAGTTTCCAATTCAATCTAGCTACAAGTATTTATCCAAGTATAGCACAAGTTATCTGTGATAGCACAAATAGTGTGTTGTACAGGAAGGCAGTAACCTAAGACAATTTGGCCACTCAGGGCTACATACACAAGGGACTCTAAAGATTGGGTTCTAATAGTCAAAGAAAGAGAATGAATAATTGTAATGCTGTAGAAAAGTTGGGCAAAGGGACATGGACAATCCAGTAACACAGAGGAAGAAAATAATAGCAAAGAGGGTTCTCCAAGTCTGAACTAGCTCATTTGAAGGCTCTACTGGCCTGGTGTCAATTTATGGGAAGCAGGTTGCTCAGCTATTGTCTGCTGCTTGTTGTCTGATTCTGGTCAGTTTGATCTTTGTGCTGGGGACAGAGATGTACTTAGCAGGAGGGTTAGTGGCTTTTTTAAAATTAAGAGATATACTTCCAATAGTTCATGGTTTCCAACTAACTTCTAGAGTTAATTAGGAATACCAGAGAGTTTCTTTCAACAAGTTGGAGATAATTTTAAGCTGGAGTTTTTTTTTCCAATAAATGCAGCCTCCCAGCCTCAGGTTGTATACGTAGACTTTATCTACTGGGAGTGCGATGTTCAAAAAAATCTTTGGTCAACTTACTATTGTGTGGTATAATGTTAATGACCTACTTTCAAGAAGCCTCCTTTATAGAGTATGGACTGTTGAAGTCCTTTATCTAGGTGCACAGGGTGGCGGTATGGATCTCAAAAGACGCTAACTGGGATGGTTATCCAGCCGAGAAACTCACAACCCACTCTCAGGTCTGAATTTGAGTTCCAGCTCCAGTTTTCCAGCCAATGGACATTCTGGGAGGGAGCAGGTGATGGCTATCAAGTGTTTGGGCCCCTGCCACTCACCTAGCAGTCCTGGACTAAGTTCCTGGATCCTGGCCCTTGGTCTGGTCCAGATCCAGTTGTGTGGGCATTCAGGGAGCAATCCAGTGGGTAGGGATTCTGTCTGTCTAAAAAGAGAAATAACTTATTCTTCCCTGTAAGAATATAATGGACAGATCTTGAGCCACAGCAGACTAAATTCTACCTATGTTACTGCCAACTGGGTTTATTCTTCTACTGGTTTATTCTAGCAGTCCAGAATGGACATGTGGATGAACGGGCTGGATTTTACAATCATTCTGAATTAGTCCGCCTTGTCTATCTGCTGCCATGGCCGTGGTCTAATGACACAGAAACACTTAAATTTAATATTAAAAACAAGCAAACAGTAATGAGCACATACAGGTACTTCCATGATTTGGAAAGCTGACTAAAACTTAATTCCCAGACTCAAAAGAGCCACTTGGCAATGGAAAATGACCCATGGGCACATAAACTCTTGGGAATATAATGGGAGACATTTGAGCAGAGAGGGCAAGTCTCCTAACAGCAATGTTGTCTGCACTGCATCATTTAGTTATTCCAGTGGGGAATTCCTAAGGGTTAAATTTCCTTTTGTGGACTGGGAGAATGGGATATGAATTTGGGTCTACAAAAAGATGTTCCTTTTCTCCAAAACAAAACTCTTCTTTCCTCTTCTGATCATCAATAAAGTCACTTGGTCCTTTATTATCCTAGGATATAAGCTAAGGGTCTGAGAAATGGTAGAAAACAGGGGAGGGAGCCTTCAGAGGCCATGACATGTAAGATCTCCTGGAAGTTGTCTGTTACCTTATTTCCTTTGCTCTTGTCTGTCTGAGCAGATCACTGGCTCTGAATTTCAATGACAGTTGGACCTTTGGAGCTTGAATTATGTTTAAAAGGTCAAAGGCATGTTCTATACTCTTTATGCAGTATCCCAAGAAAGTTAGTAAGTCTGTATTCACAGCATGCCAAAATCAGGAGTCCTACGAAAAGAATACCTACTGTCTATACAGAGATTAGCAATTTTTTCTTTAGCTATTAAGGCTTGCCCTAGTGTGGGCAATAGAGTTCAGCTTGGCATGTGAACCTGGACTCAAAAAGGGACCCTCATACTCTAGAATTTCATACCAGGAAACTTTAACTTTTCATTCTAAGTGGAACGAGATGTGGTAATTGCACTACCCTGAACTCAGGACTAAAGTGAACTGTGTTTTCAGAAGATTTCTTCCCATTAGAGGGCTACTGAATGGAATCAGATGAGGTGATTTTTAGTAAATGTGCATAGGCTCAGACATCAAATCAAGGAAAAATTCAGTAGTCATTGTGGGCAGTAACTTGCAAATTTCATAAACCTTGGTTCTTAGTGCAGGGAAGAAGCAAAGTCAACATGCTTAGAAGAAATGTAGGATCATGTTTAGATCCACGGGTGTCAAGAGGTAACCCCAACATTTAACTGACATCTGTCAGAACTGAAGTTTTTCCGTTGGAATCTTATAATTTAACAGTCCAGATTATAGAGTAAGTGGATGATATTGGCAAGGCAAGCTTCCTAGGACAGGGAACACAAAAGCAGAGTGTTGTGCTAAACCGGAAAGCTAGATCAGCCCGAAGGATTTGAGAGAAGTAGGATAAAGTTTTCAAATATTTCCTTAAGAATGGACTGTCTGAGTGCACTCTTTCTAGGCAAAGGCAAAGAGGTATTAGCTTGTTGGAGTCTACCGGCACACTCAAAAAGGCACCAGCAGTCAGCAGCTGAAAAACTACTGGCAGTGGAAAACACGGGGCAAGGGATCAGGGATCATGGTGTACTGGAATACAGGAATATAGGTTATTCCTGTATCCATAGCTGAATGGATCTGAAGTCTTACACAAATATCCAAATTATTTCATTAGGTTTGCAAATGGGAATGATAGGACAGTTCCAAGAGTTCACTGTATCCCATTTAGAGCTTTAGGGCTGAAGCGGGTACTGGCTGATATTGGAGAAGTGGTTATTATATCCACCTGATTTCAACTGGTGGTGATGAATGGATATTGGACTGTGCCTTCAGGCAAGCGTGAGCAGAGTAAGACTGACAAAACAGGAGGAAAACTGAGTACAGACTGCCTCTATGAGGTCACAGGAAAGGTCTTCTGATGGGGATAGTCTAGCATTACCTTTCCCCTGAGGGAGAAGGAAACAGGGCAGCTTTCTAAAGTCTTTGAGGGAGAAATGGAGGCCAATGGAACATTTACACAGATTTATACATACATACATACATATATATCACCTATAAAGGCTTACATTAAGAAGTAAATACATAACTTATGGTTATAAGCTATATAAATGCTATATTGTTGAAACAGTCACAGGATTGAACACTTGGGGGCAGAATGGGTTAAGTTAAAGATTTTGAGATGAAGAGAAAAAGAAGATGGAGGAAGAGATTGCTGTGATGGTGATGTGGCCATACTCTCAGAAATGTTGGCTAGCACTGAAAGCATTAAGAGGCATTAGAGCCTCTCCAAAACGCCTAGTAAAATTAACTTCACACTACATTTTGGACTTCTGGCCTCTAGAACAGAGAATATGTGCTTTTTTGCTTAACTTAACGAAATTTCAGATTAATTCTGACAGCCTCAGCAAATTAACACAGCAAGTAGTGAATTTCAAGCACAACTTTGCACTGAACTTTCACAGCTGTTAGATGGCACAGAAGGCATTCAGACAGGTGCGGAGTCCTCCAAGTCCAGAGCAGTTTTCTATCACTGTATATTTCCTAGAGTAATCAAATGAGTGGTTTAACAGATCCAATGGGAAAAACCCACCAAAATAACTTCTGTGGGGAATTATGAAAGACAACTGGCTTATTAATTTTTACAATGTATTTAATATTGCTATGAACAAAAGGCAACATTTGATGCTTCAAAACCAAAGTGATATGGCTCAGTTTTACTGTTGTTATTTTTAGCCTTCAATCTTGATAATTTAATATTTATTTAACTTGATAAAATATCTTTTCTAATCTTAAGATTCCAAAATCAGAGATACTCAAAATCAAAAATATAATTTAGTATTTACCTGGAATAAATGAGTATTTTGCTCGAAATCCCAGTCCTTCAAGTTCTTCATCAGAACTAAACTTAATCCACATAAACCTCCCTGTTGATCTAATTAACGGAGGGCTTTTCATGCCACAGTAACGATCTATAAGAGGGGAGAAGCCAAAAGGTCCATCTCGAATTTCCAAGTGATCAAATCGACATTCAAATGATGGCTCTATATAATAATGTTCATCAAAGGTCAATTCTATTCTTTGACGTGGAGCAGCTAGAAAATAACAAAATCAGAGGAACACAAATTAGAATATAAACATGCTGACACAAATGACAAAAAGGAAAGCAGTCTCTGACTAAGGCTTATAATGAGAATTGTTATAAAAGTCATAATAAATTTTAGATTTTATGATAAAAATGTTACTCTGTAAAACTACAATAAATTTCCCCCTTTGGCATATGATACTTATTAAATTAGCTAATGTACTCAACTGATTAATGAGTTCAGAAGCTAATGCTTATTTCATGATAGCATGTATCATGATATACAAAAAGAAACAGAAATAAAAACAATTCACTAATGTAGACAAAAATTTCATGAAGTCCATTAATGGATGCCACTTAAGTCTTCTATCAAGGGCGTTTTAAATATAAAGTTCTTGTAAAATTGCAACTATTACTTTGTTAATTGTTTCCTACAGAGAAACCTATCATTCTGATAATTTAATTCAAAATACACTATAAGCTTACATTTTGTCCAAGCTGGTTTAAAGTAAAGGTTAAAAAAAAATATACTCAACAAAAGGTAGAAACTGGTCAAATACCTTCCAAGATGTAGATACATTCCTTGTTTGGGGGGTACGAATCAGGATAATTTGGTGACGCGAAATGACCTCCATTGCTGGTTCGAATCCAAATGCCACACTGTGTTGCTGGACTGTGCTTGATTCCAATATTTTGTCCATCTCAGGAAAGAAAACATTATTCAATACATTAACTATAGCAAAACTGAATAACATTTTTCTCACTCTCCAACGTTCCATGTAGCTACCCACTCTATGTTACATACCTATTTCCCTAAAAACCTCTACCAAATTTTAACACAGTGAATTTAAATACAATAGAAGTGGAGGACTTGTAAGGTTATATACTGTGCTTGTTGGAAAAATTTGCTAGAGAGTAAGAATGTTGTGTCAGAGAGAGCAGGAAAATAAAATGTTTATATTCTACAAGGAGAAAACTACATGTGAGAATTTGGTAAAATTTAATATAAAACAATAAAATTCTGTTTTGACATGTAAATTGAAGGGTTTCTGGAATTAATTTCTGACATGGCATCTTTATATTTAACACCAAAATCAAATAATTCTTTTAAATTTAAAAAATTAAAAATTATACTGGAATTTCAGTTAAAATTACACAACTCTGCTTCTTCCTCAAATTTTAATTCAAGGGTACTAAGAGTATTTCTAATGATTTAAATTCTAACGTACAAAGTAGTAGAATAGTAACAACTATTAAAATAGGAAGTGGAATGTGGAGTGGCTTTTTAAAAACACGAGACTGCCCACCCAGAAATTTATTTAGAATCTGTTCCACTTCCAATGCTTTGTATAAGTCTAGGATGTTTCTGATCTATTACAATATGAGAAAACCAGAAAACACTGTTTTGAAGACGGTGAAATAGTGCTATTGAACTAGAGAACTACAGGTACTTGAGAGTGAAAATATCAACTTGAAAACAGGGAAATTAGTGAATGTTAATAGACTGTATGATACTCTATTCTCAGCCACCTCCTGCTGAACTCTCTGAAGGCCGTTTTGTTAAAATAAAAGCTTCTAAGTAGGAAAAAAGACTGTTCTTTAAGACATTCAATCACTCAATGATATGAACTCAAGAGTGTCCTTACTTTAGGTTACTAGACAAAATAAAAGCCAGGGCAGTCACAATCCCTACCACACTAGCAGACAGGTAGGTAGCCATCAGTTTTATGATCCTTCTCAAAATGCAAGCAGGTATTCCAGGATCAGACATTTGAAGAAAGTCTAACATGAAAAGCAAAGCAAAACAAACAGCAGTGGGGGATGAAGGAAATGCAAAGTATTTGAAGAAACTCTTATTAGAGTTTTAAAAACAAAACTATAATCTCCTCAAAGAGACAGAGAACAAATTATATTCATAAAACAAGAACAAAGATACTCCCCAAATGAAAATGAACAAAAAAAAATATATCCAGTAAACAAGAGGGTCCAACACAGTGGTGCGGAAGATCCAGCTACATCCCACACTGGAAAGCTGCTTCGATTTCTGGAGACTTTGCTTCCAATCCTGTTTTGTGTTGGTGTGCCGGGGAAGGCAGCAGAAAATGGCCCAAGATCCTGGGCCCTTGCCAAACACGTGGGAGACAAGGATGGAGATCCCAGCCCCTGGTTTCAGCTTGGCTCAGAGACGGTACCTGCAGCTATTTGGGTGGTGAACCAGCGATGGAAGATAAGCCTCTCTCTCTTCCTTTCAATAAACCTTTTAAAAACGAAAGCTTCCAAAAAGGAAAAAAGAAGTAGTATTTGAGAGCAAAAGTTGCAAACTATGGCCACGAGCCAATTTCACCTCCTGCCTGTGGCTATAGCTGACACGCCCACCATTTGAGTACTACTGTCCACGGCTTGCTTTCCTACAGGAGAGTGTAACAGTGTGGTTATAACTGACACATCAACGATTTGTGTATTACTGTCCTCAGCTGGCCTTCCTACAGGAGAGTAACAGCGTTGCAGCAACTGTAAACCCTACAAAGCTTTACATACTATAAGATAAAGCTGAAAGAGACAGCAGAAAAGACAAAAAACAAGAGAACCACAACCAAATAGAGATCCCTAAGAAGGAATAAGAGGAAAATACAGAAAAATCCTAAAATTTAAACAAAAATTAAAAATAAAAGTTTCCCAAAGATATAATTCATGTACAATGTAATCCTGAATACTCATCTAACCAGAATTATAGATGGGATGGACTGTAGGCATGTGAAAGACCTAGACTCACATCTTATATGATGAAAAATCAATATTAAATGTTTATGATGGAAACAATCAAGTAACAGTGAAAAGTGTTATTAAAAATAAAAAGTACCAAAAGAATCTGTTAAAGTAATCATTTTCCTGGATCAAGAAATGGGATAAGATCAAGGATGAATTCTTAACTAAACTTCTAGTATATTTTGATTCTTACGCTTATACGTTATTTAATGAAATTAAAAAA